ATATTTCACAGGCGGTGAGTGTGGTCAGTAGATTCATGGCGAATCCGGGGAAGGCACACTGGGAAGCTGTGAAGTGGATCCTGAGGTACTTAAAAGGTACAGCGGATACGGGTCTATGTTTTGGTGGAGATGCATGTCATATAAGTGGGTTTGTGGACTCGGATTATGCAGGTGACCTAGATAGACGACGATCTACTACTGGATATGTGTTTTGCATACATGGTGCCCCAGTTAGTTGGCGATCGATGTTACAGGCTACAATTGCTCTTTCTACTACAGAGGCCGAGTATATGGCTATGGCCATGACAGAGGGAGTGAAGGAAGCATTGTGGTTATGGGGTCTTCTAGATGATTTGGGGATTGAGCAGGATTGTGTGGACTTGTGGTGTGATAGCCAGAGTGCAATTCACTTGGCTAAGAATCAGGTTCATCATGCTCGAACCAAGCATATTGACGTCAGGTGATATTTCACTCTCGAAAGTACACACAAATGAGAACCCAGCTGACATGTTAACCAAAGTGGTGACGGGTAGCAAGTTTCAACATTGCTTGGACTTGCTTCACATTAGTCCATGTTGATATGCCCGAGAGGGCATGGCCCTTCGGGGCGGGGTTGAAATGAGGTGGAGAGTTTATGGAGGTGGAGGTGAACTACGGAGGCTTGATCCCGAGTTATGGGTACGTAGGCAACCATGGTTTGAATGGTGCAGCCGAGTTGGTGCTTGCTTCTTCTTCTTGTGTTCGTCCAAAATTTGAGGTCTATCAAATGATGTACGAGGTGGAGAATTGTGAGAAAGAAGTGTGCAGGGAGTTAGGCGCCATGATTGGGTGCCATGGCGCCCAAACTTGAAAAAATGGACAGTGAGGCTGGCGCCATGGCGCCCATGGTTCTGCTTGTTCTTGGCGCCATGGCGCCCGATTCATTCTATATATAGCTGGTGTTTTTTCCCCTTCTTAGAACCCGATTTTTGGAGAGAAAAGTGAGAGAGAGCTTGGATTGAATTTAACAAGTAAGAGGTTGTTCTTCTTGGGTATAAATTCAAAGCTATTTTCTTTTCTTGGGATTAACTTGAGGCTTGTTCAAGTAATCCAAATTCATTGTTCTTCATTTATATATTGAAAATCATTTCTTCCCCATTTTCTTGTTCTTGAAGTGGTTTGGAAATTTTCACTTTGCCAACTTAGTTCGATCTTTGGGCTATCTTTGGGAGGTGTTTTCCCAACATTGACATACATTATGATAAATATGCAACTCTTAAAGAGTTCATGGAGAAATCAATGGCCATTTCCTTTAAGGAGTTTCGACATGAGTTGCAGGCACACTACAAGGAGTATCTAGACCAACCAATAGGTCATAGGAAAGCAAAAAAGCCTAAAGAAGTTTGTGACCAAGCTGATTGGGATTATTTGTGTGACTATTGGGGAAGTGAGCGGTTTCTACTACATTTATATGTATTTTCATTGGTATTTATGCTTATTTGTTACCTTATTTAGTTTGTTGACTATTTTCAGTTCTATTTAATTGTGTTTCACAGAAAAGATCCAAGGTAAATTGAAAATAGATCGCAACAACAATTTACCCATTTTCCTAGTTCTAGATCCCTTATTCAATATCAATCTATGGAGGTAAGTAAGGAAATATATCCATTTTTATTGGAAAAGTAATTTCAATTCAATGAACCCTTATTCTTACTTCTTTAAATAAGATAATGGAACTGGACTACACATTATAAGGATAATAAAGGCTAGATCCATCTCGTGGCTGAGGAGAAATATGTAATGAATAAATACTTACGCCTTTATTTAACTTTATTATTACTTAATGGAAGAAATATTTTACTACTTTATTTGCATTAGTACTTTCCAATTGTTATGCAGAAGGAGATGATAGACATGTATACCATACAAGAGGCACGTTTTAAGGAAGAAGAAAGGGAGAGTCAAGGAGTACAACTTACTGCTAATGAAATAGCGACTAAGGTCCTTGGCACTACTTCTTGCTACTATAGGGGTTTGGGTAGGGGGCTAAAGGTTTCACGTGCTACATCTCGTGTGAACACGACACAACGAGAGAATGCTGAACTTCGTCAAGTTGTGCATAACTTGCAGAGCCAGAATGAGCGTATTCTTGCCTTGTTAGAGGAGATAATGCCAGGTGCTACTACTAGAATAGTTAGCCCTAAAGTGCCCACTAGTCATCCATTACCGTCACGAGGCACATGATGATCATTAGTTTAAAGTTTATCGCATTTACATGTTTTTAAATCTTAATAATTCGTACTCTATTATTGAACATGTTACAAGTTTGCACTACACTTGTCTTCTCGTTTTTAGGAACTTGACCAGGCTTTTTATTGCCTATGCTATTATTTTGTACTAATGCGTATATGTAATTGCTCATGTTTTGGAACTAGAAGTGCATTGTAAAGGTATAATATATTATTTTGCCTTGTATTTAGTTTGTTGGCTTTTGAATTGTGATTGCCGCGTTTTGATTTTTGATGTATATTGATTTTAATTTTTTATTGGTTCATTGTGTTTTAGTTAGGCTTTCAATCTGTTTTGAAATTTTGATTATTGCACAGGTAAAATAAAATAAATCATATTTATCGATTGAAATCAAAGTCGAGAAATGTGGATTGATCAGGATTAAATTTATTAGCATACACATATTTTTCCCGACTTAAATTTTTTGGTCGGCAAAGGTGTATTTTCCCTAACTAACGATTTTGGTTAGTCTATATGTTTTCTGACTCAGTTTAGAATTTTACAGACCCAAAAAAATGGTCGACAAACTTGTCTTTAGGAAAGAAAAGTTTTTATCTTACTTTCCCCAACTGAAGAATGTGGTCAAACTCTATTTTTCCTGACTACGATCAAAATTTTACTGACTCAAAAAATAGCCAACAAAAGGCTTTATCATTCTCGACCAACTTGGTGTTGGTAAGTAAAAAACTATATCGTTTCCGACTACAATGCATTCTGGTCTATGAAAAGGTTTGCCGACCAACTTCATGTTAGTAAGTAAAAAACTCCATCATTTTTTACTAAAATGCATTCTTGTGAATGAAAACATTTGCTGGTTGACTATTGGCGACCAACTACCGACCAAATTTTCCTATTCAGGGATTGTTAATACTGACTAATATTAGACTTTTAGCGACTAAATTTTAGGTTGGCAAAACCCTTATTTCTTGTAGTGACCCTATGTAATACCACATTATCCTTTATGATGTTAGGAATAACAGGTGATGGCATCAATGTTGCATTGAACTGCTCTACCAAGATAGTGGGCGAGGCCCTAATGTGCCCACCAAACCAATGCTTCTAGGCAAGGCCCGCTCCTTTATTGGGAAATCAATCTCCATAGTGAAATCAATTCTTACAAGGAACGGGATCCATCAAGAAGAGTTTACCATAACTCGTCTAGGATCCTAAGACTAATGACAACACGCCACATGGAATTTGGGTTTCAATATCCTGATTTACATCCACAAGAACTCTTTCCCTATAAGTAGCCATGAAGAGATAATGTGGTACACATTCATAACACTAGCCAAGTCTCTTCTTATTTGTCTTTCCCACACCCTTCCCTATTTGTACCGATAGTTGACTTGATCATTCGAGTATCGACCATCACCTATTCTTTTTCGTCGAAAGATGATCTTGGTGCCTAACGATTTGTGACTAAGTGTGTGGGAAACATATAGGTATTTAAGACATGGGAAAATTTTGTTGACAACATGGACAAAGAGATTTTGGAGATCAACATCAACGTTATATGATACTTATATTAAAAGGTAACATAAGATGATACTTTTCAAAACAATATGGTTTTTTTAGTCAAATTAATTAACAAAATTGAAGGACCATAAAGGTCTGTTACTTCTTTGACCATCAATTATAAACAAAAATGCAACTAAAAAGAGTTTTAAATTTCAATTCTTTGATCAAATTAAAAGAGGAATTCACCAATATAGATTTCTGCTGAATTTGGAGAAGCTGTCAAAGATCAATAAGCACACCAAGCATGAACAAGCTAGTAGCACGACGACTGTAAGTCGTCGTGGACCCGATCAAGGGTAATACTTTCATGCCTAACTCTATATATCTATAAATGAGCAACCCGACTGTGCATTAATTATTTAAAAGAAAAGATTAATTTTCACAAACAAATTATTAAAGTAATGGAAGCAAAAGTCATAGTCCAAATCCAATAAACAGATGTGCTCATTTAATTTTATGTACTTCCAAATTGTTACATTGATGTATCTACTTTAGAACTGGGAAACTAACTAGTTAGATTAGGCATCTATGAAAGCGAAATGTGTGCTGTAGTATTATTCAGCAATAACAAACTGAATGGGAAATGAAAGGCATGATTTTTTAAATTTATGCCTACTCTATATTTAATTCATGTTAAATAATAGATAGATCGAAATCTTTATTATAAACTGTAATCAAATTCGATTATTACGAAGTGTAATATTAGATCTTTTTAATGATTTTACTTTTATCAACCGCATGTTTTTTACTATGTTTATAGATATAAGTTTTACATTAAAAGGTAGTGGGAAAATCTTAAAGAGGAAAGGAATAAACAGCGCTGTCTGCCTGTTAATACAGTTTCTGGGGCAAACAGAATTTTAGGTGTTTTCCATTGATTTCACCCTGTGAACCCAGGAAAATTCTGCTGTGCCAACCAATAAATTTGGTCACAGGATTTCCCCTAGCTGGAGTAGAACAGAATCGGCTTGTACGATTTTACAGTTTGGCAAAAGAAAAAAAAAATTGATAAAAGTGAATGTCCGATTAGAACAAACCCATCTGACTACAATGGATCAGGAAGCAGTGGCCCGTTATCCTTCCACTGCAAAGAACGGGAGGTTCTCGCTGCTCTGTGAAACCAGCCTGACGCAGTCCCCTCCGCTTTAAGAGCTAAGCAGCCCATGCTTTCGCTTGGACTACAATGCACAATTCCTTGCTTAGAATGGGCAGGCCAGCGAGTAGCAAACCTGAATCCAGTCGGTTGGGCTTGAATAACGTCCAAACACCATAATGCCCCCACTTGGGTTACAAGCTTGAGTTTCCAAGCTCGGCAGCTGGTTTTCAATTTGTTCTGATTAATAAAGTGGTTTAATCTTTGTTTTTGTTTCGATGTGGGATACTCATAAGAAAAGGATTCTAAACTTCGTGTTAGATTCTCTAACTTAAACTACAAGCAAGTGTGCAGCCCCGTTCAGCTTGTTTCCCCAATAAAAGTATCCATTTCAGACCAAAAATCAAGAAACTGATAAATTTAAGTATCTTCCATTCCCACTGTATCACCTCTGTTTAGAAATGCAAAATGAGAAAGACAAAAAACATATTCTTTGGTGTATCCTCCTATATAGAGAACTGGAAAGGCAAAAAAAGAAAAGGAAAAATCGATATTTCTAGGAGAAATTGAAGTTGTTGAATCTTAAGCTTCCATAGGCATATGCATTAAGTAGATCATTTTGTGGAGACCAGAAGTCTGCTTTGAAACCAGCTCTCCTTACTGCTTTTAATATTTTGTTTCTATGTGCATAACCTGTCACCACTACTTTCTGACAATCGTCATCCACTTCTACTTTTTCTATCCCTGCAACAAAAATGGAGAAATCAGCATTCAATTCTAAGTATGTATGTATGAGCCTGTTTGAGGCCCTTTTTTTCCTCCAAATGCATTTTCGAATAGTAATTTAATGGAGAAAATGTAGTTAAAAAATAAAGAAAAATTTTGGGTTTGAGTGTAATATTATTTTATTAAAAAATGTGTGATTGAAAATAAGAGAGAAAAATGTACTTCGTAATATTATTTTATTGAGAAATGTGCATATACCTTTCAGTTTTGACAGGCACTTCCTCAATCTTCTATCGTGTATGCCAACCATCTCCACCTTCAATTCAATCGTCTGTGAAGGAGAGTTTGAACATGAGTAAGAATGCAAGTAGAAATGACTGATAGGGCAGAGAAAAAGGGCTATACCTCCATGAAGGAATGATGATCTTGATGACACAGTAAAGCTAAATAGAGGCAAGAATTTAGAAAGATGGAAATGAAAGAAAGGAATAATGGATAGAACAGATTGGAATTTACAAGGTTATATATATCTAAGAAAAGGTGGATGAGTAAACTATATAGTGAATCTTGATTGTTGGTTCTGTTGCTAAATTAAAGGGGGACAAAGACACATTTGGAAGCAAGTTTTGAAAAAATCGAAAAACCGTTAGTTATATCGAGATTGAGGACTGGGGGATTCTACAACTTTAAGGTTCCTATGCCCAAATCAATCTCTGCCTCTAATGATTGGCTTTGACGGGTCAAATTTAGACACTTTTACTTTAAATAAATCCATTCTCTCATATAACAAAGAATGTTTCAAAATAAGTTGGAGTCTAGAAAATATTAAAGAAGACAGCAAGTTTGGTACTTTTCCTTTTCTTTTCATTTATTTATTATTATTTTTTTTTTAAGTTTGTTGCTAAACTATCATTACCACATACAACGTGATCACCACAATTATTCAATGATTTTTTGACCTATTTGGTGAGTTGGACGGTAGTTTAATATTAAGATTAGAAAAGGTTGAAATCTTGTTCATTGTATAAACATCTCATCAAGTATGTCGAACTAAACATGTTTATGCTTTGCAAAAATGTTTTGTCATAGGCGAAAACAATATAAATGATAAATTTGCTAAATACCAACAAACTGTAGAGTAGATTGGAAAAACAGTTTTATTTAATTCCTCTATTTGTCTATGGGTTCTATATTGAACATGTTTTGAAATTGAGCATTCAACTTGACCCTAGTATTTTTATTCTTTTTACTTGGATCAAGTGGCTTTATTTTAGCATATTATTATTGAACAAATTTGACACAACCTGTTAGTACCTTCACTTACCTAGGATCAAGTTGTTTTGTTTCTACATATAGCAATCTCATACCTCGAATGAGAATTTAAGTAGTCTTCTCCTCTTCAATTTCTCAAATTCTAGTGTTTGCAATTCGATCACCACCTATTGATAATCTTTAGCCCCTGTTTGGGCTCCATTAAAATGAAATTTTGGGAAAAAAAAATGTTTTTTGGAATAGTAATTGTTTTGGAAAATGTATGGTCGAAAATAAGAAAAAAAATTATTTACGTATAATATTATTTCATGAGAGAATGTGATTAAAAAAAGTTTTGAAAAAATATCTTGAATGCATTCTTATTTAAAACTCTAGATTTAGCCCCTGTTTGAGCTCCATTATAATTAAATCTATGTTTGGCTCCCATTTTTTCAAAAATCCATTTTTAACCATACATTCTCGTATAAAATAATTTTGCAAGCAAAATTAAAATTTTTTCTTATTTTTCAACCACAAATTTTTCAACAAAATACTATTCTAAAATGCATTTTGATAAAAAAAAAAAAATGATGCTCAAATAAGGGACAATTTTTTGAAAAAAAATGTATTTTATAATAGTAATTTTTTAAAAAATGTGTGTTTAAATAAGAATGACAAATTTTGAATTTTTATGGAATGTTACGTTGTTAGAAAATGTCATTGAAAAGAAGAGAAAAAAATTGAATTTTAAAATTAATGGAGCCCCGAAACAAGACTTAATTTGACCACTGAATTCTGACCAAAAGTGTTTCGAGTTCTCCAACGTTAGAGCTATGGAATGAGCTGACAAAAGGTGTGTGTGTTCGATCTTGATATACACACTCTCATCCCAGCTTACCACCTCGTTTTCACAAACTAATGTCGCCTCCATTTGGTCAAATTTCCCAATCTTTTCTCTCTTTATATGATTCAAATACCCAAACTTTCCTTTAGACAACATTGTTATGATCCCATCTTTATATTTAGAAATTTTATTATTAGTAATTTTACTTTTCGAGTTTATTTTTATGTATTGATTCAATTTGAATTACTCAGAATTATTTCCATGTATTCTACTATTTCTTTTTAAGAATATGTGGAATAATGTACTTTACACCTCTATTTAAAGATGCAACATCAATGAAGAATTGGTTGATGAATTACGTCAACTAACATATGATTTGTTTTTGAAATTTCATTGTTTGGTCGAAAAACTAATATCATTTTTGAGGTCTAGAAATCATCGAAGCCTTAATCATTTTTTTCTCCCCTTTTATATTGCAAATGTTAAAGTCATATCTATATATATTCTCAATACTAGTTTAGTCACATATTTTGATGCTGAGAATGATACTCTTTTATGAATATATAGTTGTTTCTCATAACAACCAAGTGAATTTCGTCTCAAATTTCTCACTGAATTTGCTTAATGAACATCTTCATTTCCTTCGAACTATTTATAGTCAATAAATTTTCGAGTCATTGATGCTCCGCCTGAAAATAAACGAGTATTATCAATTTCGCTCTTAGATTCTTTTTTTAAGGTTTAAACCATACAAACGAGCATTTGTAGTTTACGAACTTTGTGCACGATTTGGGTCCGGATTTACAAATTTTGTGTAACCAATTTCATGCAACAAGAAAGCATGTTAAAGAGACTCAAAGTGACAATTCTTCTATTTTAGACTGAAAACCGGTTTGATTATGGCTTTAAATCCGCATAGTAAAAAATGGGAGAAAAACCATCAACTTGGCGGTCGAACTATGAACCATTTGGCCAGGGACCAGTTGCACAGGTTTTTTCAATTGATATTTTACTCTAAAAAAAGGGAAATTTCAACTGATTCAAATACTTGAGACTTAATTTCTATCGATTAAATTTGGATAAAAATATATGTGCTTGAAAGGAAAAGAAATTGAGTGGGACATTGAGGAAAGATACATCTGTATAGCACTAAATGTGAAAAGGAGAGAGAATAGTTGAAGAATGCAATTGCATCAAGGAATAACGGATGGAATTACTTCATGAGAATAGTTGAGAACTAAATCTTCATCGGGGAATAACTGGGGAACCCAATTGTCTCCTTTGAATTGTTGAACGAAATTTTATCTTGATTTTAGTTATAGGGCCAGTCCAGAAAATTTTTAGGCCCTAGGCGATAAATTATCATGAGGCCCTTACACATAATTTTTTCACAAGCATATGAGCATCAAACATGGACGAATCGAACAATTTCTCATGATAAGAAATATTATTCATTTGATACTCACTCATCATTTGATTGGTTCGAGAATCAATTTTCGTTTTCAAGAAGTATAATATAAAAATTTTATGAAACTATGGGATGGTGCCTACTATTTATTATAAAAAAATATCTTATATTTAAAAACAAAATTCAAAAGCAACAATAAATTGAAAGACATTATTGGTAGAAAGGCCCCCTCCTTTATTTGCACTACCATAAAATATCTAATGTAAGAAAAATGAGAAAATTCCATAATAGTTATTTTTGGGCTTTCAAAAACATTTTGAGGCCCCATTATACCCTGAGGCCCAAGGCCACTGCCTTAGTGGCCTTGGGCTAGAACCGGCCCTGGTTAGTTAGATGACTGAATTGCCTCATGAAGATAGTTGCAAGAAGAAATTTCCTTTTGGAATAGTTGGGGACGGAATAGCTACTTGAAGATAGTAGGAGGATCAATTTGTTGTCTGAAAATTTTTTAAGGAGGAGATTGCCTCTTGTCAATAGATTGAGGAGCTAAAGGACCCAATTGTCACCAATGAATAGTTGGATGATTGAATTGAATCGTGAAGATAAGTGGATAGTGGAACTATACACATGGAATAGTTTGGGAAGAAATTGCAACTTGAAGATAGTAGGAGAATCAATTTGATGCTTGAAAATAGTTTGAAAATGAGATTACCTCCTCTATATAGTTAGAGGATGGAATTGACTGATGAGAATAGATGGAGGACCTAATTGTCACCATTGAATAGTTGTAGACTGGAATTGCATCTTGATGGTAGGTAAAGGATGAATTGACTCATGAAGATTGGTTGAGGATGAAACTGTCCACATGGAATAGTTGTGGATAGAATTGCTACTTCTATATAGTTGGAGGATCAATGTGTTGCCTGATAATAGTTGGAGGATGTGATTGCCTCTTTTTATAGGTTGAGGACCAATATGTTTCTTTTGAGTAGTTTGATGACCTACTTATCATTTTAGAATAGTTGGAGGGCTGAATTTAATATAGATGTTAGTTTAAAGGATTGAATTTAATCTTGATGTTAGTTAGAGGATTGTCTTGTAATTTCTATTGATATTTGAGAGAAGGAATATGAATAGGAATTTGTCACACGGAAACAATTATTGTAAAGTTCAATAAATGATAGAGATATACTATTATAGTTTGCACGATCTTATAAATGTTCTTGTGTTTTAAAGCTTCTTTTCACGTCCATATCTTTTATAGAAATATAGGAAGATCACATGTGAAGATATGTTTGGTTCTATTCGAGAGAGGTTATTAAATGAGTTGGGAACGTTGATTTTTATATCTCTATATGTGTCTAAATTGTGAATTGATACTATAATAGATGACTGCCGATCTTGTAGTGGTTGGCCTTTGTCCAATGACAATGCAATCCTAGAACGACCAATACTATTCGAGCTCAAGGCTCTAACCTCAATTTATCATTATTGCATGAAATTACTTGTACTAGGAGAAGTGGGAGTGCTCTATGGGGATAAGGTTGAAGCAAGGTCCTACTCTTAAGGCTGTAGGTGATTATGATCGTTGAATATGACATGCATATTTTGTTTTACCAAATTCATACAATGTTATTAATGTGTTAGAGGCATCCCATCTTTTCTCCGACCTTGCTGAAGGAATTGCTCCTCCCGCTCAATACTCCTTTCAAGAAAAAGAATATAACATGAATTATTATTTAGCTGCCAGTATATACCCATTATAAAATGAGTTATAATGGATGCTTGCCAATCTTCTTGTGTTTGACCTTTTGTCCAATTACAGTGCAATCCTAGAACGGCCAACATTGCATGAGCTCAAGGCTACAACCTCGATTTATCATTATTGCATGAAATTCCTTGCACCATGAAAAGTAGGAGTACTCAAGTTCAAATAATTATATTAATGTGCTGGAAGCATCCTATCTT